AAATGTCACTTTGGTTTGTGTCAGATAATAATGGTACCAAGTCTTTCCCAGTGTGGCTCATTTGGCTCATTGAAGGGATTTCTCTCTATAAAGATAGAATAAATATTTAATGGGATCAATGAAAGGGAGCAGTGGGATAGACTTTTCTATATCTCCACATGAGCCATAATCAATGGAGGAGACATGAAAGTTGCCCAGCCCTGAGTTTCCTTTCAGATTGGTATGGGGTCAGATTAAGTCTAATTGAATTCACACACACACACACACACACACACACACAGCAGTAGTTTAGTGGCGTCAAACCAACATCTCCTGATCAGGATTAACATGACAGGAACATATGTTAGAAATGATTCACTGTAGAGAAAATAGGATTAAGATTTGTCTTTAATTAGTGTTGTGGGAAATAAGGATTCTAAATACTGATACATCGATTATAAAGCTGTAATAGAAACAGTTTTTTTTATATTTCTACATTTTCTAGTAAAAATAACTGAAAAAAAAAAACATTTTCATCATCTTACTGGTTAGTTAGAACAGGCCTGGGAGCTGAACCTGTGTAGGCCAGAGGAAACTTTTTATCTGGTCCAGTTCAGTTATGAATGATTGTATTCATATCAACTCCAGGGTGTATAAAAGCACATCACTGGCCAATCACACCATTAAGGTCCATTACTTGGCAACAAAAAGTATCATTGGCCTAGTGTCTGAAAAACAGAAAGACCTACATGTTGCCAAGTCTATAAATATCCTTTGAAACCAGGAAAAGGCGTAACTCACGTGTATTGTTGCCAGTTACAAGAGAATTTTTGCATTTATGCAAATTCAGCATGGAGAGCGCTCAGGAAACTGTGGCCACAAGTAGAGTTGTTGACATACAGCTGGAGAAAATCATTTGACTAAAGCAGTGTTTGATGCTAATTAGGAAAAGTGATTCCTCTTATAAGGAAGGGTATTTAAAAAAAAAAAATCATGGATTTGATTTGTTTTGTGTTGATGCAAACATTACTGGACTGATCAGATGGAATTATTCATCAGTGATATAAAAAGTCATGTCATGATGAAAATGAAAACTGATTTTAATAGATTTTCTAATAGATATTGTTTTCAAAATCATAGACAAATTAAATAAACATACTCTACATTTTTCATACGTTCGTTCAGAAAGAAAATAAACATACTCTACATTTTTCATACGTGTTCAGAAAGCAGACCAGAAATAGAAAAACGGTGTCAAAAGAGAATCATGTAACTGTTCAGACTGAGCCTACTATCAATTTTGGAGGTTTTGCTTTCCATTTATTTTTCTTTTCTTTTTACATTTCACTGTCTTGCCGTGGTGCGGCGATCCTCCCTGATGACCACCTGTGAGTTACTTCCACTGTATCAAAGGCAATTAAAAGATGTAGCTACAATAGAACCTTAAAAGGCTTTATCAGGACTGTCTTATCCACCAGACATCTCCTGGGGAGGCTGGCCGTTGCCAGGGTTACCACCACAAATGGCAAATGACGTCAAGAAGGTAGGAGAAATACCAGGGAGAGCCAGAACTGCTATGGATAATGGATTATTGAAAAAAGAGCTCCCTTGAAAAATGAAAAGTGGCTTAAAATATGAACGCTTCTCTGCTATGAAAAAACCCCTATAAATATTTATGATTTTAGGGTTTTATTTGCTGTCTTGTTCAGGTTTGGCTTTTCTGACTGTATGTTGACGCTGATCTCTTGCTGATCAGCTCCATCGTCACTGGATTTATTATGCTTTTAAACCAGATCTATTTAGATTTACTTGTATGGTTGATTATGTGAGACGCGATGACTTGTGTCTAGGTTCTCACCAGTAATTGTTTACTCTGTTTCTGTGTCAGGTTCTTGTCTAATCTCAGAGCTATTGTTGTCCCATGAAAGACAGTTACAGTGGCAGCTTCCTGAAGAGCCCTCACCCTTTCTGCGATAATGCCTCTCATATTGTGTCGGAGTCACACCATCGACTGGCAGGACACAAGCCCAGAGTTACATTTACTGATGGTTGAAGGCCAAATACTGCTGCCTGTTGATTCATTTCTGCTTAGAAAGCTGACACAGTAATCTGTATAGACATCACCAACAAATTTAATCAAGTTTTAATTCTCAAGGTCCAAATTTTTACTGAATTCTGATGTAGAAAAACGCGAGTTTTTACTGAATTCTGATGTAGAAAAACACAAGAAAAACTTGATTTAAAAAAAAAAAAACCTAGACATTTGTATTGAAAGCTGCGCCTTGTCCAACAAATGCCATCAATTTACAAATGAAAAAACCAGAGGCACGAGTTGCATTTTATGTGAAAAACTGCAGGAAACGTGCAGAAGCAGAGAAGCAACAGTTTCGAGCCGGGGGAATCCCAGACACTTGTGTAAATTAGGAGGGGTTCAACTGTTGCCTGTTCTCTCTTCATTGGATGAAATGTTCATTTATGTTATTCTGGTGCACAGCCTCCAGTGTTTGTCAAGTTTGTCATTACCCTAGAGAAATCACACCAGCTCACAATAAAAACAGCTTCAAGTTTGAAAAGGAAACAAGAAAATACAAAATAAATTTACCTTATGTTGTGCAGAAGAGAAGCAGAGGAAGTGGGCGTCTTCTGCGTACGTCCTAAATTGCATGGATTATGAGTCACATACACATGTGGCACGCTAGTTTCAGTTCCTTCTTTCAGCTGAGTGGAAGCTGCAGTAAACTGAAAGTGGCAGAGCTGGAGTATGAGGCAGAGCTTGACTGAGAGGGAGGGCCGATCTGGGTGACATGTGGGATGGGTGATGAGGGGAGTAGTATTTTTGTTAAAGGTACAGAGTTTATTGTTCACCACAATGATGAAAGAGACACCTTTTATATTCATTAAACTTTCACTAGTGAATACATCAATGATTAAATGCCATAGTTTTTTTTAAATGTTTTTTTCTTTACTCCTTCCTCATATTTATAATAAAAATTAAGATTTTAGGGACAAATGTTAGCTCGTAAACCAAATCAATGGCTATTTGCTTTTTTTTCCTTCAAATTCAGACCTCCTCCATGAAACAGCAGAATTTGCTGAATCCAAAAAAATAGGTATTTTATTTTAATCAAGATATAATTTGAGCGTGTGTTTTTCCTGTGTTCATATCTTTTTATTTCTTTATTGTGTTGTTCTTTTAAAGATAACTATTCACTGTGGCATCGACTGCAGGTTTTAGAGGTTTATACATTGAATAATATCAACTGTAAAACTCATGACCATTATAGTGTATACATTTTTAAACTGGTTTTATTATTTCACAAAGGTTTAGACAGTAACAGACACGATCTTTGTCTCCAGGATGCCTTTATTGTTTGTTCTTTTTTACAAGCAAGTCAAATATCTCAAAGGCACTTAAGATGCAAAGCAGACAGAAAAGATGTTAATCATTTTTGTAGATGCACAAAATCAGCCGCACTCATAAACATACAGTTGTTATTTTTTATGATTTCAGACTTGAGATTATACAGATCTTAAACAGTTAAACTGTCACTGTTTTCTTTATTAAAATGATTTATTCAAAACTTGTGACTTTGCATCATAAAAACTCACATGACAGATGGATTATTCCAACACCGTTTTGTTTTTGTCATTTTTATTTATTTTTGACAAAATAAAAATGTATTTATTAGTTTTAACAAACTTTAATTTTAAACATTTAAAGCCACATGAGGAAAAGTGCCAACAGTATTAGAGGGGAACAGTAATGGACTTTCAATCCGTTTTTAACACTCTTTAACATTTTTAACAAATTTGACCTTGACCTGCTACCATTTAGTGTTGTTCTAAGTAACAATTATTCTTAAGCACACTTCACTCTACGCTTCACTCAAACTTGATTCCCTGAGCCAGAGGAAGATCCTTGCTGTAGTTGATTGTGCACGTTGAACGCCTCATGTACTGCTTCCATGAGTCACTGCCGGACTCTCTTCCACCTCCTGTGTGTTTTTCTCCACCGAAGGCTCCTCCAATTTCAGCTCCACTTGTGGGAATGTTGACATTTACAATGCCGCAGTCGGATCCTTTGGGTCCGAGCCAACGGAAAACCCGGCCCATGTCTTTGGTGAAGATGCTGCTGGAAAGACCCTGCTTCACCTCATTATTCAAGGCGAATGCTTCCTCTTCAGTCTTGAACTTGAGGACATACAGGATGGGGACGAATGTCTCTGTGTGGACAATGGGTGCGTCATGAGCCAGCCCAGTAATGATAGTGGGCTCCACGTAGTTTCCAGGTCGGTCCATCTTCTTTCCACCACACACCACTGTACCACCTTGTTGTTTGGCTTGCTCAATGGCCGACTGGTACTGCTCAACAGCTTGTTTGGTGTGGAGGGGCCCATAGAGGGTGCTGGGATCCCAGGGATCTCCAATGCGGACTTGTTTGTAGGCCTTGGCGACCCTTTCCACCACTGTGTCATGAACGCTCTCATGTAGAATCAGCCTCCTGGTGGTGGTACAGCGCTGCCCAGCTGTACCCACTGACGCAAAGACAGCAGAGGGCACCACAAGGTTTAGATCTGCATCCTCAAACACAATAATAGCATTGTTTCCGCCGAGCTCCAGTAGTTTGCGCCCAAACCGCTCCTGCACCATCATGCCCACCATCTTGCCAACATGGGTACTACCAGTGAAAGACAGCAAATCCACGCGTTCGTCCTTCGCCATGGCTGTACCAATATCTGCTCCTCCACAGGTCATGGAGCAGATGGCACCTGGTAGGTTGTTTGCTTCCAGCACCTCAGCTACAATCTTAGTGACTGCGACACTTGTAAGAGGTGTAGTCGGAGCACCTTTCCAGAGGCACACATTGCCACAGGTGAGCGCAAGGGCGTTGTTCCATCCATAAACAGCCACGGGGAAATTAAAGGCTGTGATGACGCCAACAAGACCAACTGGGTTCCACTGTTCAATGAGAGCATGACCTGGTCGTTCTGAGGGGAGGATGGGCCCACCGATCATCCTAGACAGACCTACAGCATAATCACAGATATCAACATATTCCTGAACCTCACCCACTCCCTCAACATAGATTTTGCCCATTTCTAGAGACACCAGACTTCCAAGGACCTTGATTTTCTTTCTAAGGGCATCACCAATCTGCCTGACAATCTCCCCTCTTTTTGGAGCAGGAATATCTGCCCAGACTTTCCAAGCTTCCTTTGTCTTCTGAACAGTCTCTTCATATTCGGCAAGAGTAGCCTGGGTTACTCTGGCAATTGGCTCATTGTTAGCAGGGCAGTAGGATGTGACAACCTCCCCGCTACCAACCCAGCTACCATTGTAAACACCATGGTTGTCCTCTGAAAGACCAAGCTCTTTCAGCCAGGAGTATTTGGGCTGGTTGATGAGAAGGCTTGACATAGCTGCTGTCTGCTGGCAGTGGACAGTTGCAAACTTATGTCTTAAAAGGAGCCTGCTGTGCCGGGCGAAGGTCAGGGTGAGGCAGCGCTGCATGAGTACTGGAAGCATAAAAAGTTACAAAGATATTCATAAGTATGAAAGAGGTGGCAAACATTGATAACTGACTGATTACTGAGTGGTTGATGTAAATATTATATAAATATTTGCATGTGATAATCATTAAAGCATCAGTAAACTTTCAGAAATTTCATTTAATTTAAGACATAACCACAGTTTGTGTTTAGTTTACATCTGCATTCGAATAGAATAAAAATAAAATAATTTAATATCCTAGTATCCCAAGTATGTAAAGTGTGTAACAATATAGGGCAATAATATACTTGTTGAACAAAAGGGAACACAAGGGAATTAGAATTCAATTACAACTGGTCCAAAAGGAAAAGCCAGGTGACCCTGAACACAGAGGCTCAGACAAAACTATTTTCTACGTGTTCATAACAGTGCACGTGTCACTTTTGTGCCATGAAGTTGGTCTTGTGAAGTTAGTAATTAAAAACATCTAAAGAGAAATGACAGTGAGGCAGGTTTCACAAGATTCTTCAAACAACCAGCTGCAAAGGAACTCGATCTGCAGGTTCACAAGCAACTAGAACATTTTTGAAAGTATTAAAATGAATGCATGATGAATGCATTTGAAAATCTAATGTGCAAAATGTCTTCCACGGTGGTTATAGTACAATAAGTGTAAGAAAAAACAAAAAACAAGCCTGGTCACATATGTCACTGAGCGTGATCTTGTTAACCGAACCGCTGCTTTCGTACCATACCCTAAATTAACTTTAACCTTGGTAACTTTACCATAACTAACTACTTGTACTATACTAGTTTATAGTAAACCATGAGGTTTTAATTCATGTGCCCGATTTAACAAACATTGTGGTTACCGCCACTTTGCAGTACGTCGTAGATGTCGAATAAATAATGCAACAACTTTACGGCATGGTCACTGACATGGAAACATGGTGGACCAGTTCCTCGTCATAATGACCGTGACACAACGTCCTACAGGGTTCACGGACACTTATCAAGCTGATCCATTAATGCATATTAACTAAATTAGTTTTAGCCATTGCACTTATCAAGCTGATCCATTAATGCATATAACCGAGCTACATTGTGGGCTAAAACTAATTTAGTCAATTCCGTAGTGCAATTTATTTAACTCACGTTGCTGGCAGGTGCTCGGAGGCCACGTTCACTCCTCAGCTAGCAAGAAAAATCCTTTTGCTGTGAAGCCAACACGCACCAACTGGAAGTCGTCCCGTATTGCTGCGCTCTGATTAGTCGACGCCACGGCGGTGCTTCTTTCTGACTGGTCGGTACTGCCAGTGAGTGTGGCGCCTGCTCGGGCAGATGTCTCATGCTAACCCAGTCCCTTTGTTGTGATTAGCTGTAAACCGGTTCCGTTTCTGTCGTTATAACTGTATACGGACGAAGTTGCTTTTGTAATATCTTAGAGAATGAGTGGCGGAGTGTACGGAGGCGGTGAGTGAGGTTCTAGTAAAGAAAAGCTTTGTTATACACATTGTTCCGCTCTGTAGCATTAGTCAACTATGTAGCTAGGATGCTACATTAGCTTTGCTAAGTCGTTGTTTTATAACAAAATAGTTTAAACTAAGGTTTCATTGCCTTCTCCAGATATGTTGAAAAGGTTAAAATGTGGTAATATAAGTATACAAAGTGTGGTAGCGCGGTCTTTTTTGATATTTAAATAATAACTTGACTTAACTTCAATTTTGCTAACTAACTAGCAACAAAATGAATGAAAGTGGGCATGTCGAGCCTAATGGCTTCACATTGTTTGGGTGATGCTGGTATTTCACTTAAACCATTTCCCCCCAATAACGTCTATGTTTCGATCTTGTTATTGTATAATATCCTCTACGTAAGATAGATCATAAGAAATGTAGCATAAATAACTGTTATCTGACATTTTTGTGCATAAAACACAACTGTTGTGTTTATACAGCCCTAAATCATAAACAAGTTTATTTGTTACGTATAAATACAAGATACCAGTGATAGAGGAAAACATAGTATGTAATATGTGTTCAGTACTAAGAGACCCCCATGTATCCTACTTTAAAACACATAAAGGTTGTTTCAGAAATGTACACATATATACATATAATCTATATGGGTGAACTAGAAATATTTTTTTCCATTTAAGTAAAACAATTTATGTTTATTTGGTTGCAAGATTTGACCAGAGAATGATTGTTCACTGGATCAAAATGCACAAGTGGCAAATTTTGCCATCAGTCACCACAACCTATCAGTGTGAAGACACACTCATACATTCTCAGCTGTGTAGTTAAAATCTAAAACGAGTTTTTTTTTTCATGTAATTTTAGAAGAAAAAATCCCCTTCTCTCTCTTTCACTGGCATTAACTAATCACCTTCTCTCTCTTTCACTGGCATTAACTATATTTTCCACACTAATCACATAAACATTTAGCCAAATTAATATAACCTAGAATTTAAATCCTATTGAATTATTATTCAATTAATTATCTTTATTTCTCCAGATGAGGTGGGAGCATTGGTGTTTGACATCGGCTCTTATTCTGTAAGAGCTGGCTACGCAGGGGAGGACTGTCCTAAGGTAAGTGGATCACTGAAATGACCTGATTAATTATGTGTCTTTTCTTGCTCCACATATTCTCATCTCCTCCTGTGGGAGAATGAATGTCAAGAAATATGGGCTGACCCCCAGGAGGCAAATTGCATGGATTGAGTTCAGATCATTCTGGACTAGTAGCTTGGTTTGGATTTGGATGGATTTGCTTTGGATTAATCTGCGTTAACCATACTTACCGTACTTTAGAATATTGACACCCATTTTTAGATATTGTTATATTTATGTTCAAATTTCTTTATTCAATGATGGTGAAAATGTTTTACAACGTGTGTCATGGGTCTTCATGTGTCTTGGTTTAGGCAGACTTCCCGACGGTGATTGGTGTGACTCTTGACCGTGAGGATGGAACCACACCTATGGAGACAGATGGGGACAAGGGCAAGCAGAGTGGCACCACATATTTCATTGATACCAACCAGCTGAGGGTCCCCAGAGAAAACATGGAGGTCATGTCTCCACTTAAGAACGGCATGAGTGAGTGTTTGGGCAATGTTTCTTTCTTTTAATGCTAACTCAAAACATAGTATTGTTGTGTTTTGTTTGCTACTGTTGTTACTGCTACTGTTTGGAACCTAAATTATTTTAATATTTAATTCAGAAATAAAATTAGACGTAACCCCATTAGTTCTGTCATTAAACTTTTAATCTACTATCAGTGATCTATGGTGCTCTGGCTTTGCTGTCATGAACATACGAACCCCTCCTTTTTATGTCTTAATGCGAGTCTATTAAAAGATAAGTCTGACACAAATCTGATTTGCAGTAGAACAGCATCATGGGAGCGCAGACTTCCTTAGAGCACTGACCTCAAAATGAAGGCCTCATGTTCAAATTAATATCTAAAAATGCTTCTCATTGCTCTAGTTTTTTTCCATCACCTGATCAAGAGCTGATGCAAAGCTGCTTTTGGGGATTATCTGCTGTTTATACCTTATTGCAAATATGAGAAGGTGTTGCATATATTCAACTTAATGGGAAGAAAAGAAAAATACAGGAGTAAAAATAAATTCTAAATGAACTGAGTTTGACTTTGGGATTTTATGTCTGTAATCTGTTTGCCCGTTTTATGCCAGTTTTGTGTGACAACTGAAATTGTTTGGGGAAATAACTTCTGATAAACAATTTCTGATAAACGCAGATTGAATTTTCTAAATAAATAATGGTATGACACCATTAAAATATGAATCATCCTGAGTTAGAGCCAGAAAATAAACACTGATATGTAAGTTTATGCTTTGTTTAAGCCAGTGGTTCCCAGTGTCAGTAGGAGGTTGTGGAGTTTTTGAACATGGTGTTCAGCAGTGCAAAAATATTTTCAATTTTAGTGTTTTCTTTGTTTGTGCCAAAGTGGGGAAATTGCACTGATTTGTCATTGTATTTCCTTTGTTCAATTAGAATAGTATATAGAAAATGTTTGGGAAATCATCTGTGACCTCACAGGTGGTTCTGTCTGCTCCGTTCACAGTTGAGGACTGGGACAGTTTCCAGGCTATTCTGGATCACACCTACAAGATGCACTTCAAGTCTGAACCAAGTCTGCATCCAGTGCTCATGTCAGAAGCATCAGTGAGTGAGAATTAGCCTTTTTAGCTCCTCCCCTCACCGCACTGTATGAAACGGGAAGCACAAACTGTTGATTGATTGTTTTGTTCTGATATTTTTTTGTCGACAGTGGAACACAAGAGCGAAACGGGAAAAACTCACAGAGCTGATGTTTGAGCATTACAACATTCCTGCCTTCTTCCTTTGCAAATCCGCTGTGCTGTCTGCGTATCCTTCACTGCTTTGTTTCCACCCAGGAAATGTGAATTAGCTTGTTGTAAAATGCTTAATATATCAAATACTTCTAAGTATTGTTTGTTAAATCTCTGGGCTGCATTTCCTTCACTCTGAGTCTTTCAGTTTTGCAAATGGGCGGTCGACAGGTTTGGTCTTAGACAGTGGAGCCACACACACCACAGCTATTCCAGTACATGATGGCTATGTCCTGCAGCAAGGTAAACAAGGAGCCACCAGTTGTTCTTCATTAAACATGGGGTAAACTAACTTGTGTGTAAACTGGAAATTTGTAAGTGTTTTACACTCGATTACAGCTGCCACCTAGTGTTTGAAGATGGTGTACAAGTTTATCGTTCAGTAACTTTTGTGATGCAATTGTACAACCAGGAAGAACATGTGCATTAACCCCCAGCATACAACCAGGAAGAACATGTGCATTAACCTGAGAAGGTTTTAAAAACAGTGTTGTATTAATGTTAAATTTTTCCTTCAACACTGTTTAAGTGCAACTGTGTCCCTTCTAGGTGTGACTCATTTGTTATTTGTTCTCTGGCAGGTATCGTCAAGTCTCCTCTGGCTGGAGACTTTATGAGCATGCAGTGCAGGGAGCTGTTCCAAGAACTGAGTGTTGAAATAATCCCTCCTTATATGATTGCATCAAAGGTGAAGTCAGACACACGTCAATACTTTAACATATACATTTATCATATTGGTATTTATTAAAAGTTAACGGAAGAAACGTTATAATTATAAGGAATAGTCTTCTTGAAGATGTGGCTGTTTTAGTGGAGTTCTATAGGGATTGTAAAAAAGAATTTGAACATTTTTACTCTGATATGATAAAAAACAAAAAGTCAGTCGTGCATGAGCTTGTCAACATATGACGATAGAGACCTGTAGGCTCTTGTTTTATACTTTGAAACATACAGTGTGTGTCATCCTCAGTGTGATTGCATCATCCTTACAGGATGCAGTGCGTGAAGGATCTTCAGCCAGCTGGAAGAAAAAAGAGAAATTACCTCAAGTCACTCGCTCTTGGCACAACTACATGTGTAATGTAAGCATTCAACCCTCCTGACTGTAAAGTTAAATCCCTGTGTTCTGTGTTCTGTGTTTGTGTGAATACACCGTCCAATAAAGATGAACCTTTGTCTCATCTTTGTGTCTACAGTGTGTAATCCAGGACTTTCAGGCATCGGTGCTGCAGGTCTCTGACTCTCCATATGATGAACAGTAAGATATTTGTCTTGACTAACCTGTCTGTGCCTCTTAATTTACTTTTACTTTTAGTGCAGCTATAGTACACCTAAATCCCACAGTTTTCTTGGATTATCTGTTTGAGCGCCTGGTTCTGGCTTTTATTTTTTATAGTATGTTTTTGTTGTTTTGAATAGGATGGAATTAAAAAAAAGACCCTGTTATGGCTTATCGTTTGACCAACTGATATAAATTGACCTTTATCTCTGTGTACCTTTTAAGACTTGTATTTTTGTACTTGTGCTATAGAGGTTTTAAGTTTTTTTTACTCTGTCTATCTTCCACAGGGTGGCTGCACAAATGCCCACAGTTCACTATGAGCTGCCCAACGGTTACAACTGTGACTTTGGAGCCGAGAGGCTGAAGATCCCTGAAGGCTTGTTTGATCCATCGAACGCAAAGGTTTGTTCCACCTCAGCATGCGTCCTTCACTCACAGGACAGACGATATAATTGGAGCTGTCACACGATTACATGATTGGATCTGACTATATTCTATCAACGATAAATGTTACTTTAGAAGATTTTGTTTTCTTTACAGTGATTAAAATAGACTTTGAATAGTTTAATTTTCCAATCGTTGTAAAAAAAACAAATTTTCTCTGGAACAGAAGCAAAGAGCTTCACTGTGTAACTCTATCAGGTGTAAAAGCAGGTGAATCTTGAAGAGCTGGTCTCTCGGCATGTTTTTAAATGAACTGATTAACTTTCTGTCATGGGAATCTGGTCGTACAGCTGTCTCAACCTGTCCTGTCTGAACTCTGGATTTTTGACAAGTTAATGCTTTACTAAGTTTGTTTTTTTACTTTTTTACTTTAAAAATTGTTCTCCTAAACTTATTTAATTTAGTGTTTGCTGCTGTTACTCTTACACAAAACACACAGTTAGATAAAGGTCACAGAATAAAGAAAAGATATGAAAACGTGATGAAGCATTAGTTTGAGTGTCTTCATGTTTGTGTTTCTTCTGATCTCCTCAGGGCCTGTCTGGGAACACCATGTTAGGTGTTGGACACGTGGTGACGACCAGTGTAGGAATGTGTGACATCGACATTCGGCCGGTGAATATCAGAATTTTATATAGAACAGTGGTTTTCAAGGTTTTCAACACTCTGGGCCAGTTTAAACGCAACAAAAAACCAACTGAACTTCTGACTACAGAAGTCAAAGCAAATTTCCATTATGAGTATTTTTGTTTAAACCTTTGTAAAAATGAACAAATCTTTGTTTTCTTCTTTAAAAATAACAACAAAATGATGTCAAACATCCATAAAATTAAAACCTGTAAATGAATCATTTTCTCATTTTCCCAGTTTGCTCAAATTAGTATTTAATTCTGACTGAACTTATTTTGCTTCTGCAAAGAACGACAAAAATAGGTTTAGTTACTCTGGTTACTTTTGACTTTGTAATTTCTTCTTCAGTTCAAAAACCACCTCCTGTCTTCCTGTTTCAGGGTCTGTACGGCAGTGTGGTGGTGACTGGAGGAAACACATTAATTCAGGGCTTCACTGATCGACTCAACAGAGAGCTGTCCCAGAAAACACCTCCGGTGAGTTTATGATCTCCATGAAGTCTGGATTATACGAAATGTTCTGATCTTATCACACTGCAGTTCCTTGACTTTCATCATTCACTTTTGTAATGCTGTGACTGTGTGTGTGTGATTGGCAGAGCATGAGGCTTAAGCTGATAGCCAACAACACAACCGTGGAGCGACGCTTCAGTGCATGGATAGGAGGCTCCATCCTGGCATCACTGGTGAGGATACAAATACTACTGTGGCAGAGAATGATTCCTGCATCAGAAATTATCCTGTTAAAAATGATTTCATGCCTTTTAATAAATATTATTCTTAAATGATTGAATTAATTTCTTAGGGAAGAGATTTATGAAACTGTGTGCAGGAATGGGCTGTTTAAAACTACGATTCCATGTCTACTGTTTAAATACTGACATCTAACGGATGTAGGGAGAAGTGCAGCAAAAGGACGATTCCTCCAGTTGCGCCACGTGTCAATTTCCTAATAATACCGTTCATTGAAAGAGAAATCTGACAAAAAGACAAAAATATAAAAATAGTCAGGAGTATAATTGTGACTTTTCCTATTCATCACGTGTCAGCATTTTTGATGGAAGTACTGATTCACTAAGAATAATTAGCATGAAAATGTTGCACATAAAAATGTTGTCAATTTCTCATTGGATTCTTAAGTATTTGTCCCAAATTAATTATTTTTTTTCTCCAGGGAACCTTCCAGCAGATGTGGATCTCCAAACAGGAATACGAGGAGGGGGGGAAGCAGTGTGTGGACAGGAAGTGTCCTTGAATATCCTCTTCCTCGGCTGCTTTTGCCTCAGAATCATCATCGTCATCATTAGTCCTGCAGCACCGATCCCAGACTCAGAGAACAACAGTTTTTTTTTATTAATTTCTCGATTGTTCCAAACAAATCAGCCAAAAATCTTCACCATAAACTGTCAATAACAAAACAGTTGTATTTTTGTTGACTTAACATTGAATAGTTGTTTTTTGTGGGAACCTTCCAGGTAAAGTTTTTAATCAGTATGTATTGACAGGTTTTGGTCACACACACCAGAAAGATGACACAATTTACCTTTTTTGTACAGGTCAACAAATGTTTTTCTTTTCCATAAGCTTTTTTTTGTGTAGTTATTAAACTTGTCAAAATCATTGAGCAGCCAGTTAATGTCTGTGTTTTGTGATGTATCAACTCAAATATATCTGTATTTAATTTTGCAACTTGGCTTGTCATTTTTTTTAAATAACTTAATATTTTGTATAGAAATGTTTGGCTAGGACATTAAACTTATTTTGACAAACATTGTTAGGGNNNNTGCAGCAAATGATAAGCTTAGCATTACCTGAAATATATAACATGACAAGTAATTTTATTCTCCATGTCAAGATGCAAATAAGTGAAGAAATCATTGTATACAGAAACACACGGGTCACAGCTGCACAACAGCAGCCTGGATTTTCACGAAGAAGAAGAAACCTTCATATGTGGGAACTTCTCTTTCAGTTTGGCCAGAGTTTGCATCTCCATTTTCTTTTTCCGGTTCTTATCTCTCAGGTAGTTTTCCACACGCAGTCTGAAGGCAGAGAAGTATGTATAAATAAAAACATTTGAGGTATTTTGTTGTACAATTAAAATGTAAATTAACATCTTACCTAATATATGGTTGGACAAATGAAGGTGTGTAGAACCTTTTCCCCTTGTATTTTCTGTTCATGTACCAGGGAATCGCATATTCTTTGAATCGATACCTAGCAGAGACAAAATAAAAAACAGCATGTCATGTTCAGCTTCCTGGACATTCTGGCCCACTCAGCCTGAGAGGCGCTCCTCACCAGTAGGTGTATCCGAACACATTGCTTCTCCAGGCTCCTGGTCGACCTTTTTCCTGTCCTGTCTGCAGCAGACGCAGCGCCGTCTCTCGTTCATGAGCCACAGACTCCAGCCGTAAGATGGACAGTTCAATCTAAGACATAAAAAAAGGTTTAAGTTAAAATGTTCTGTCTTTTTTTAACAACTGTTACAGTAGTGGTATTGCATTTGTTGTAGACTATAGTAGTTGGACTCGATCCTTTTTGTGGTTTCACTCACCTTCCTCAGTCTTTCTGGGCTTGGCATCTGAAGTCTTTGCCTTTTTGCTTCTTGCTCAATGGTCAGCAGCATGTTCTTTTCTTTCAGCAGTACATACCTGAGACAAAATAAAATTGTTACTCCAGACTGTTTATTTTTTAATTTTTCTCCTTTTACATTTGGAGCCTCGTGTTGTTTGTTCACCAGAGTTTGTGTAAATCCTCATTGCTCTTGGTTCTCAGATGTGCTGCAGTCCAGGAATCACCTTCAAATTATAAAACAAGTACTATATAAAGCTTTACTATCATAGTTATTACTACAAATACATGCATAAGACCAATAGCTACTGCCCATATGGACATTTATAAAGGAAACCCATGCTCTCTGAATGCCAAAGTGTATCACCTGACTTAACAGTGGACTCTCCCCAATTCTCAGGAAGGTCAAAGAACTCTTCAAGTCCCCTCCTGCAGCTGGTTGTGTGCAGTGATCGGCATTGATTCACAGAGCTCATCTGACCAAACCATGAGGGGCCAGCAGGTGGAGACCTTTCCCTAGTGAAACCACAATGATATCCCAGTACAGTTTGGATATTCCACAAATAATATACTTTCTGTTGTGTAGCAAATTTTGTCAATATGGTTTCATTTTAAGTAGAGAAGCACCCGAATATAAGAAAAACACAATTGCTTGATGTGACTACACAAAAAATACTTTTCCATCATTGTGTTTAAATAGAGAGAATAGAGAATAAGTGTAGTATATATATGTGGATTGTTTTAATTCTCAGTAAATATATAACTGTGTGATTGATGTCTCTCATTCAGTTACTGCATTTGTTTTAACTACAATGAAACATGACAAACTAGAATGTGTAAATATACGACAAAGATGTCAAAAATTAACTTTTCTTCTACTTTTAAACGAGTCGTTCCCCTGTTGAAGTGAAAATGCATTAATGAACATACAGCACTGATGCTGACCGTGTCGACGTAACTGACTAGTCGTTGATACAATGTCGTTTTAATAAATTACAGATACAGCTTCTTACCTGCAAAACTGATTGTAGAATTTAGACGCATTGATGGAACAGGGCTGTGCATTAACCCCTGTAGAAAACCTAATAACACCCTCAAACCGCTTACACAGAGTCAAAATGCGTCCTGCCGCTGAGGACGCCGCCATCTTTACACAGTACCCAGAATGCACTTCTGTCACTCTTTAACGAAACAATTTTGTTTGGTTGTTTTAAATTCGTTTTTGCATTTAATGAAGAGGGTGTTATTGTTCCAATGTCGCGCACATTACTACGAAATCAAAAAATAATTTTGACATGGACGGAAAGAAAACTAAGACTTGAAGTTAACTTGAAATGTAGACATGCTCTCGTTCTTAAAATAAAAAGTACATTGATCAAACAAAATAATACAATAATAAATACAATAATATTAATACACAGTGGGAAAAAAGTAAAAACAGGAAATAATTTCTCCAATGCATTTCCGTTCTGCCCTCACTAAAGATGGCGTTCCCGGCTTCGTTTCGCCGTTAATTTGTCATTATTTGTGCGTCGTTCTCGCTTACCCACAGTAAGGATGGTGGGCATGAGCGTTCTCAGGTCTGCTGCTGCTTTTGCAGCCAGACTGAGTCCTCTAAAATCTGGGAAAAATGCGGCGAGCTTACTCACCAGAGCTATTCCAAAGACGGACAAAGGTAAGACATACATTACCTTTGAAAAACGTGGGATTTAGACCATACACAGGGCTAGTTATTCTAATGACCTTGTAGCGGAGCGCGTTAGCCTGCTAACACAAGCTAGCTGCTAACGTATGTCCTACTGTAAACAAAACACAAAAACCCAGGAAAATATTTTATAGCCACATGTTGAAAAGAAATGACCGTATCAAGTTAAACAACATAATGTTACAATTAGAAATCAATATAGTAAAACTTAATGAATGAAGAGTATGCTTTCGTCGGACAAGTAAAGACTGTGTCTTAAATGGGCAGGCTATATTTTGAAATGTACATCGTACATCATTACAGTGTGTTTACTGTGTTAAATTATATGTAATGTTTTCGGTCACATACGTCTAACATCAATTTCCTGATAAATAAATAAGGTAGAATCATATATAGTCATCATTACCCTTTGAAATGCCTCTTGCATTTCTATTAACGCTATATAACTTCATATTAATGTATTTATACACAAAATAAAAAAATGTAAAACCTGTATGACCAGATTCATATTTTTTGTTGGCTCTTGTATCAACATATTGTTTGTGTGTGTTTTCTTTAGTGGCTGTTCGTTGGGGCCATGGAAAGGAATTGTTTTACATCCAACCCTCTCGGCACTATGACAGGAAGTTTATCTTTTTATTGGTAAGTGACTTTATTTGAACTGCAAAAGATAAAGATATCTAAGTTTTGATTTTTGTTGTCCCTGAAGGGAAAAAAAACTCACATTAAAGAATAAGAAAATATATAAGAAAAATAAACATGCAGTTGCTCAACTTGTGAAAAACACAAATTGATTTTTTACATTTCTTCTTTTTCAGCGATACTATTTGTTGTTGACAGGCATACCTGTGGCTGTTCTTATCACAGGTGTAAATGTTTTCATTGGTAAGTAAGACATATTTGAACATATTTGATGCTTTGATGGGCTCAGTCAATAGTATTTTCATTTGGTTGTTCAGGTGATGCAGAGCTTGTTGAAACTCCTGAAGGCTATGAGCCTGAGTACTGGGAATACTACAAGGTATGGAGCATTGTTATGTTTGTCTTTTAATGATCTTTCATGGCTTATGTTACTTGTCATTGTTCTGTTTTTAGATACAGTTAAGTAGAGAGTGTTGTTAAATTATCTCTAACCACACACCACTCTTTAATCATCTGTTACTATATATCACAAAGTTTGTGGATACACCAATATCACAGTACTTCTGTAAATGCACAAATTGCCTTTCATTTTTTTACATTGAATAATAATGCAGTAATCAAATCCATTGGTGTGATATTACAGCACCCCATCAGCAGATGGATTGCAAGGAACGTCTATGATTCACCCGTGAAGGACTATGAAAAGATGATGGCATTCGTACGCATGGAGCAAGAGAAGGCAGAGTTGAGGTGAGTGTCAGAATTGTCCTGTCAGTTTGCACTCGTCATGTCTTTGAATCTCAGAAGACATCAATATTAACACCAGCATTATAATAAGATTATTTCCCTTTACAGGGTAAAAACACTGTATTATGTGCTACAACTATTTTAAATCAACATTTGTGTTATCTGTAAAACCGATTTATTACACACAAGGTTATTTGTCAAACAGATATCCACATTGTGCAACTGGAATTTTCCACTATTGAACAATATCTCATTTAAAAAAAAGTAACCACTTGGGGGAGAAGAAATAAGAAATAGCTCCACGTGTGAATTAGTTTTCTCTTCTGACCCTTTTCCCATTTTTCTACTTTGTCATGGGCAGATTGGCTGAGTTAGCGGTGCATCAGAAGATGAAGGAACGGGGAGACGGCCCCTGGTACCACTATCCGACCCCCGACAAGAACCTTATTGACCCCCGGATCAAGTCATCACCTGACGCTTAATTAGCTTGTTAATGCTCACCTTACAGGTGCATTTGACAGTTTGTACATTTCCCCTGTCTTGACTAAATAAAGTATCTTTATGAAATGTGATAATTGGAGTTTTGATGTTGGAATGCAACTATGTTGAAAACTCACGTTTATCTTACATGACCTAACGGGGGTTAAGCTAACCAAGCATCTAGTTACTAGCTATGAACCTGATACGACAACATTTATGATCCAATAGTTAAGTAGGGTAGAAGCACTGGAAAAGTTAATACAAGTGTTTTTACTTTATTAAAGGCCCAATTACTGGTGGATAATGCACTAAAAACGTTTTTAAAAAAGGGGCTAAATCCTGTTCTTCCTCTTCGGGTCACTGTTCATGCGATCAGTGACTGATTTTGTTTTTTTATGCCTATCAAATGTTTGATTTATACATGACACTGGAGTCATAACCAAGTATTTTTTAACACAACTGTCAACTTTTAACAATGTGTAATGTTTACACATATGCTTCTCGTCACCTGTAGTTTATTATTAGTATCATTAAGTTGTTTGTCGTTGGTGGTTGGACGTTGCTGTTACTATGTCTGTTGACAAGAGTCTACTAAAAATAATATATAATGTAGTTACAACTTTGTCCACAAGATGGAAGTGCTGTGCAGACAGGAATACCAAACAAAGGCTTTAGAAATGATGGATGGGTGTGCGTCTGGAGGGAGGGGATGTGTTATTAAAAATACTACTGAAATAGAACATTTGGCTCTGACCGTTAACATTAAACCCTGCTGTGGAAGTGTTTTTATTGTAAAAACAACGAACATCTGCTGTAGCTGGACATAGAAGGTGCGACATCAAGGGGATGTGTTTGGAAAAACAACAACCCTGCATTTGCTTTAACGAAAACACCAAAAAAACACTCTGATATCCATGATCGTACTGGAGGAGGCAAACACGCCGGAGTAGAGACGTAGGTGTCTGTACGTGAATCATCCTCAGAGGTGGGCGGGACGCTGCTGCTGAAACATCCCTGTGGTCAGATCAGAGCAGGCGGCGTCATCAACAGCAGCAGCTGTGATGCTGTTTCGACGCAGCTAAAAGACGCCTTATTAAAAAAAAAAAACAAACCAAAACAAAACTAATGTTAGCTCATCTCTGTTAGCTTCACTTTAGCATCTCTTTAGCCCCCCCTCCCTTCTTCCTTCCTTCACTCTGTCATTTTATTTTGTGTTTTTTTTTCAGCGTCACATCCTCCTGGCCGGAGGAATGTAGAGACGGGGAGCTTTAAAAATAGCATCGTGTGCTGTGACAGGGCTGCTCCTCGGGCTTAGCTCCACTGTGCTGCCAGGAGCGGGAATGCGAAGATGGCTACAGACCTGGGAGAGCTGCTGGTCCCCTACATGCCCACCATCAGGGTGCCCAAGACCGGAGACAGAGTCTTCAAGAGCGAGTGCGCCTTTTCCTTCGACACTCCTGTAAGTCCGTGTCTGCTCCTTTACACACACTCACACACTGACCTCACACTGAACAGGTCAAACTGACAGTTTTCTAAAGGACCATTTCCCCGAACAATCGATTAATCATTTGATCCATTAGTTACTGAAAATGGTGGAAAAGGTCGATAACTGTTTACCAGCTCTGATTGGTGGCATTTGCTTTTCCAAAATGTGTTCAACAATGTTGTTGTTTTGTTGAACATGTCTTATGTCTTATATTTTATTTTATTAACTAATCTCATTAACTAATAAAGTACAGAACTGTGTTTATAAAGATGAGATGAACCGAAATTGGCACAAAACGTTTAAATATTTTTATATAATTTGATTTCACATATTTATTTTTTTTGCCATTGTTAAAACACAATTTGAATTGAACAACATTGGGCAAATTTGTCTTGAAAAAATTGGCAACAAATTGTACACTATTTTATGCTAACAAAAATATTGAACATTGAAAAATATGTAAAAAATACAAACCAATCAGAGTAAAGGTTTCCATCTTGTGATCGAGCTAAAAACAAACACATACTGAAGTTTAATTTTAATTTATTTTTACTACAGTCCACAAGTGTTCAGCTGTGTTTGTTACCCTGAGACCAGAGGAGTTAAAACCCTGAGACCAGAGGAGTTAAAACTCTGAGACCAGAGGAGTTAAAACCCTGAGACCAGAGGAGTTAAAACTCTGAGACCAGAGGAGTTAAAACCCTGGTCCCCGTGTCTTTCTGAGGCTGTGGTTTTGTGTTTGGAGATTAGATGTCAGTTGTAGTTAGTCTGTGGTTAGCGTTAGCCGTTAGTTCAGATTCAGGGTATGCCTGGGTTGGTCTGTCTAAAAGAAGTCCTCACAGGAACAGCTGTTCAAACCTGTGTGTGTGTGCGTGCTCGATCGTCTGACCTTAATGCGACCTCTAAGTTACAGTATATGTTCCTTTAGTCGTCCATGAAACCAGTTGTCCTCACAGGAACCAAAGTCTGGTCCCACTGAGGCTGAAGCACCTGGTCAAACTTCAGAAACACCACGTGTTTGTGTCTGTGTGTGTGTGAGTGGTGGTCTGTGTGTGTGTGTGAGTCTGTGTCTGTGTGTGAGTCTGTGTGTGTGTGTGATGTATGTGGAGCAGAGGGGAAATAAATAATGACATGTCGTTGACTTGGAGGGTTTCCCTTCCTGCAGCTCAGGCCACATTCACCTACAGGTCAGTTAAAGCCACAGCAGGTACAGTGAGCCCTGCTAAGATTAGCTTAGCATTAAACTAAGTCAATAATAATAATAATAATTTGGGGGTCATGTATCCATCTGACCTTTGACAGAAGTGTCACTGAAACTTTTTAATTCAGAAACTCACTTTTTAAAACCAGTTCTTACTGATCAGCATTTACATGATGTGATTTAGAGATGTGTCCAAACCACCAGAGTTTTATCAGTCTGAATCCATGAGTTTGTTAAAACACAGAGATCAATAAATACAAATTAAATATTGTTTGATCAGAAAAAAAAACCCAACCAACTGTTACAGGTTACATTACATTATAATTATTGGTAAAATGAGCAGCGTGTGTTTTTTGTTTTATTGCAGCAAACATTGTTCTAAATCTAATCACAAAATGAATCCAAAATTAAATTTATTTGAAGTATTTCTGCTTAAATCTTGTTTAAATCCCAGTTCCCTCCATGACCCAACGCTAACCTGGAATAAACAGATTAAGTTTTGATTTGTTAGACTGTAATGGTGGTCATTTTGTTTGGCTGTTGTTTTCAGCTCGTTGCTGAAACCAACAGTTGTTTGGCTGTTGTTTTCAGCTCGTTGTTGCTGAAACCAACATTGGTTGAGGGTTAATTACAGATTTCTGTTTCAACAAAATACTTTTTTATGATAAATATAATGATTGACACAAACTGAACAACTGACGGTCAAAACAGTATTTAGACAAACTTGATAAAAAATCTACTTTGTAGCTGAAACCTTTGTTTTGATACAACCATAAAAAGTTTTTAAAATGCTTGATGTTTGATTTGCGGTGGTAAATGGTTGAACATCTTCATGTGATGAATAAACCGCTCCTCAATGAACGTTTCCTTTGTTTGTCAAACGTCCTGTCTTCCATCGTAGCCTACTTTCTCCACTCAGGCCGTTTTTAAAGGTGACTCAGCTGTCTGGAGTTCATCATGTTGGCCTGAGCACTGCTTTATTTTTATCTCTGCACTCCTGGCGCTCATATATCACTCTGGGCCACTTGAAGGGTTATCACTGAGGCCCACAGGCCTGCACTGACGGCACATGGATGGGTTTATTGGAAGGGTATTTCTCATGTATTTTGACTCAGATTTCATTTGTTTATAATACAGTAGTGTCAGTCGTTAGAAATAAAAGAACCAACGTAGCTCATGATCTTTGAGGCCACAGTGTTAGCCGTTGGGCTTCAGCTAATTGTTTTGTAATGTGATCGGTGTCTTGTGGCAGGATTTCATTTTAAACATCAACTGATGTGATACTGGATGATTCAAGTTGGTTTTGTGACGTGTATTATTTTAAGTGAATAATACGTGTCGTTACACATGATCAAACCTTGAGGCGTTGAACAAACTAAACTGGATGTTTTTTGTCTTTTGGCCTCCAGTTAGGTCTAAACTCTTACAAAAAGTTCAGTTTAAACGTTCCTTAAGTGTTTGAATTAGAAAAGCAAAATGGTTTGCAAAGTTTATATATATAATTTACCAGAATTCCATTCAATTGTGGCTAAAAATATGATGTTAAAAAGTTCAGTGACCAGGAATTGTAAAACTCCTCCAATTATTTTTACATATTTTCATTGATTAAAGTCTGACATATCTGGACGTGGGAACTGTCTTAGAACTTTTTGACTCTGTCATTTCTGTGGACGTTGGTTGCGCTGCAGCTCATTGTTGTTTGTTTTGTTTTGCAGGAGTCTGAGGGAGGACTGTACGTGTGCATGAACACATTCCTGGGCTTCGGACGAGAACATGTGGAGAGACACTATCGCAAAACAGGACAGAGTGTTTACATGCACCTCAAACGACATGTCAAAGAGGTGAGTTTTCTGGTAGCTCTAAATTATTACCAAATTGCCAGAAAGTTGTGTAGGTTTAATGTTACAGTAGGTTTGGAAACATATCAGGTGTCAGCCACAAACATTAGAGCAGATTTGAAGGTCTGAAGGTCAGATCAAAGTCTGAAGGTCAGATCAGAGTCTGAAGGTCAGATCAGAGTCTGAAGGTCAGATCAGAGGCTGAAGGTCAGATCAGAGTCTGAAGCTTCAGAGAAACTTCATATTTCTCTGTATTTTCTAATAAACATAAACATTGATCCAGTTCTGACCTTCAGTCACCAACGTTCACGCTGTTATCAGCAGCTTCACTTGGTATAAAAATGTCTTTGTGATACTAGCGTTCTGTCACACCGTGTTCCTTTTACACGATGAACTAAAACTATATGTGGTTGTTACTCAGTGAGTGACGATGACATCAGGACATCATGACACCATGACATCATGTGTAGATGTTGGTTATCATGACAAAAAAAAAGTTCTCTGATTGTGAAGTTAGTTTCTGTCATTAAATCTGATTGTAAACATGGAGCATTTACACATAATATAGAAGCGATGGACAGAGACAACCAGGAAGTGTCTTAGTTTTTATCATCAGTGGTATTTGTCTCTCTGTGCTGTCCTCAGTGTATACATTATTTTATTCAGGAAACCAAACAAAATATGAATTTATAAAATATTTATTATGGTTTTGTTTAAATAGTTCATAAAAATACATACATGCACAAAATAGAGAAAATAAAGTAAAAAGATCAGCTGTAATACAAACATCAACCACAATCATCTGAATGATGTTGTGTCGTTGTGCTCCTAGCTTGGTGCTGCTGTGACAGTGTACTGTATATGAGGGCGCCCCTGATGTTGGACCTCTGTTGGTCTGGAAAATCAAGGCATCAATATGTTGTATATTGATATAAAGAAGAAGAACGTAAAAAAAAAACCCACAGCAGAGTGGTTCATCTGTGTCTTTATCTGCTGCTCTTCTTCTTCTTCTTCTTCTTCTTCTTCTTCTTCTTCTTCTTCTTCTTCTTCTTCTTCTTCTTCTTCTTCTTCTCCTCCTCCTCCTCCTTCTTCTTCTTCTTCTTCTTCTCTAACTCTGATTGACCTCAGATTAGCTGCGCTTTGTAAGAGCTGCTATTTCCATTTCTGAATCTGCTCAGAAACAGCTGCTCACATTCTACAGGCTCCTGTGTCGGCTGTTTTCCCCCCATGAGTCTTTTTGGTCTTCGGTGTGTCAGCATTCCCTGCTTTTCTGTCTGTCCTGTCCTGTCCTGTCCTGTCCTGTCCTGAAGAATCACCTGATCTGACCACAGTTCTGTTGGACCCGTCATGTCCAGAACTTTGGTCTGAGTCAGATGTTGGATAGTCCATGACACACACTACAGGCAGGGACAGGATCATGTACATGTTGGGGGGGGGAGGGTGTCCAAGTCAACAAACCAAGCTGCACACCTTGATGATGTCATTCTTTGATTCTGCCGCGGTCGGGGTTTTCCCATGTGCTTGTAACCTGATCTGTTTCCACCGTCTGCATCGACTGACGAAGTATTTAAAGACTTTCTCCAACATATTTAATGTAAAACAATAACTACAGCAGCCATGGTTGATGTGAAGATTCTTGTGTTTTCTTTCATCCTGTTTTCCTTCACTGTTTTGTACAGAAAGCCACAGGAGCAGCAGGTGGCGCCATCCCCAGACGTCGAAATGGGAAAGTGTTTCTAGGTAAGTACGAGTTAATTAAAAGTTAAAACTATTGACATAGTAACAGGACAACGTGAGTGAGAGGACAGTTACATTTGACCCGGTCAGATGTTAGTGAAGGTCGTGTCCAGAGGTCGTGTCGTCAACTGTTGTTCAGTCTCCGTTCGTTTGAATGTCTCTCTGTCTACATTCAGTTATAAGAGTTCAGAAAAATGTCTTTTTGTTTCCTCAATATTCTCTATATGAACCTCATTAATTCCATCAGAATATTATTATAAACAACACATAAAATAAATAAATGTGAGATAAATCTGTTGTCAGTCTCTCATCAGTGTGAAGAACATATTTTCTGTCCCAGCTCTGAGAGTTCTGCTCTATAATAATCTGAGCTCAAACCTGTGACTGAAACATTGGTTTGATTTCAAATCCTTGACATATTGATATTAGGCCACAGGTTTGTAACTCTGTTGATAAATGACTTATATGACTGATGTTCTTTACCAAAATGTAGTTTACGTTGTGTGTTTTCGGTTGTTAATACTCGTCGTTGTTCGTCACTGTCCAATTGAAGCCTGGTGGCAGAAAAAACATAGAAAATGTCATTGTTGATGTCTTTCAGGTAAATCACTGTCTGTCCCTTTGTTTCAAACTGATCATCTGTACAAAGGTGTTCCCTTTTTTCCCAGCATCCTTAGCAAAAACAGCAGCAACGTTAGCAACAGTAGCATGTTTTGACAGACGCTGCTGTGCTAACCTTTGGTAGCGTAACACAGTTATCAAACCTTGACTCTCTGCTGTCGCTGCTGTTCAGTTCATAAAGACTTTGATTGAATTCTAACACATTTCAAATTTTCTGTGTCAGAATCGTATCCTGATCCTGAACCAGTTTTAACTGCAGCACAGTGT